GACTCGAGTCTACATATCAGTATTTACTGTAAATACATCCTCAACTAAAAGGGAGAGATAAATGGTTAAACCGCCTTCCTCAAATCATACCCCACTCAAACCCGTCTGGAGGACGGGTAATAGCTAGTATATATATAATGACCGCTCAAGCTCGCACGTGTGAACACGCGTGACGTGAGTTTGTAAAATGACAAAATGACAAAAACAATACATAAGTGGCCAAGCTAGCTGTTTTATGACGCTGTTTAATGTCAACTGCATACTATTACTATACATATAGTAACTGGAATATCATCGTATGTAACAGAGCGATTTTAAAACAAAGAATCTGCTATTATATATCAGCTGTATCTTAATTACTGAGATAAATCCATGTTAATTATCCTAAAAGTCTGACCCTGTTAAAAATGACCCTGCGTTCTCGCATGTGTTCATAATTTTATAAAAATTTACATAAAAATTCCGGCCTGTATACTAACACCAACACGACACAAACAGACAAAAATAGATGAACTGTACAAAAAAACTACCTAAAAACGTCACAGCGGGCTTACACCTTGCCTCCTCCCATTTCGTGTTCTAGAATTTCACCATTTACCTTACATACATCATATTCATATAACCAGGAGATATAACCACTATCTCCATAACTCGCCCACGGGCCTAGCTGTTCACGGACATATTGTAACCATCAACGGAAAGCGAAAGCTGTACATGTGTGCGATGGATCGCAATTCCCTTTCATACAAGACGACAACTGCATGGTACTATAAGGAGGGGAAAACCGCCTGTTCGGCACCCTCGTTTACGAACTGAACGGCCAGGCCCGGATTTGAGCTCTTCTTGTAGTTGTAGCGGTTGAGGCTGGCAGCAACAACTATGCCAATGACCGCACCCGCCAACAGCATAAAAAATGCCAGCCAGGCCATGGCTCCTGCAAATATAAACAGTCTTGGGTTATAGGAGTCAGTACATGGCATCACTTAAGTCGGCGATGATTGCCATAGCTCATCGAAAATGACGATTAAAAGTCGGAAATGGATTTCATCACATCAAGTGTGCATTAAGAAGAAGCTTCTTGATCAAATGTATTCTGCTATAGGAGCGAAGCATGCAGACTTATATACAAAACTCAAACTCGAATACATATTATTAACGCCCGGAGTAATAACTCGAACAATTAAAAACCTTCCCCTAATACGTTGTTAATTATCTACGCGCAATCAGATTAATAAACGCAACTAGCTTTATTTTGCTAAAACAGCTTATGGGGTCATAGATGCAGATCTTGTCTACGATGCATTTCGATACATTATAACCCGTAGCCGAACCGGCGTCGATAAATTTCCCATAGACAAACTCCCCCGCGGTAGTTGTTTTCTGCCGTTGCTTTGTAGAAAAAATTGTATGATTAGAAAGATTTGTATGTAAAGTGACAACCAGCTGATTTGTGCGAAATGCGTATCATATTGCCGCCAAAGGTTTCGTATGAAGTATATACATTGCTATTCTCATGATCAAGTTTGTAATTATTTAGCATAAGTAAAGTGCATGGTACATTGTGCATTGAAGAATTCTAAGCGTGAACTTTTGTATCATGATGCAGGCTTGAGGCTTGCTGTCTATGCACGCCATCTACTGGCGAATTTCGCTAATATAACCTATGTCTGTGTGGCAGCATAGCGCGATAACCTGAATATAGATACTATCAAGAGCTAAAATACATTATTAGGTGTATATATATATATATATATATATATATATATATATATATATATTAATTCGTTATATATATATTATGTATGCGTCGTGGTGAGGTGGCGTGTGCTGCGTGAAACGACATGTGGTGTGTGTTTTGGCATCCGAGTAGCCGGGTTTCATACTTCCGGTGGCGCTAGCCGCGAGCCGCGCGGCGCGCGCGTGTGTCAATCCCCACTCTGTGCTTGTGAAATGTGCCGGAGACAGCAGCCAGGTACGCTTTCGAGCTCCCCCTGAATATGAAGTCTGTGTTGCGTCAGTATCTTCTCGTCCCTGTCACACAATACTTTTGCTCTCTCGAGAATAGTAGCTCATACGACTGCTGACACAGTCTTGTGGGTATACTACGAGTTTGGTTTTGAATCGGTTCCGCCCTGTTGTCGACCGCATATCTGTAGGATCGATACAGCGCAGCGCCGACTAGGGTGACACTTCCATTGTTGTGCGTCTGTGTGCTATTGTCAAATGTAGAAGCATGTCCGAGGTTTTGAAAGCGGCCTTGTGAGGACTGGTGGATTCACCGATTGTGCTATTGCTGGCGGATTCGTCGTGAGTGGTCATGTGTTGCCGTGTGCCAGGGCACCCGAGTCTGTGGCGTTTTTCGGCATTGATAAACGCATATCGTTAGTACGACGGAGTCGTGGGGATCGAGTGGTACCCAATGTTGGGAACAGGTCTCGTGTGAGTGGCGTCTACTTCGTGCGGCTGGAATACATTGTGATTGATCTTGGCGCTGCTTGTCTACACGGTAGGATATGATTTAGTGCGTATGTATATGTTGGCTTGCTGGTCGGCTACGTGTGCGATGTTTTGTTGCGTTTATTGCGTGCGCGCTTAATCGCAAGTGAGTCGCGCTTAGTATCTGTCTCTGAGGTGATTTCCGGGGTGGAGTGTGGTTTAATTTGTGGGTGAGACATCGAATGACGATACGTCGAGCGGACAGTGGGGTGATAATGATGAGTGACGCATTCGCGGTGCGTGTCGGCCTGTACGTGCGTGTGCTCCCGCGTCCAGATTAGTACTGCGCGAGTAGTTCGGTGCGGCCAGATCGACGCATGTTCAGCTCGGTTGGTTACTATCTGCGTTGTGTGGCTGTCAGATATATTGCCCGCTAAGCACACACGCCCTGCTTCTCCCTCGTTCTGATTCGGACCGCAGTACTCGAACGACCTAAACATAGAGGGCGCGCGTGTCGCGGTCATCGGATCTACCCACTGATGTCTACGTACTAACTTATTATATAGCTACCAATGGTTCTACCCGCTGATCTCTACGCCCACTGATCTCGTCTCTCTCTCTCATCTCTCTCTTCTCTCTCTTCTCTCTCTCTTCTTCTCTCGCTCTCTCCTCTCTCTCTGCTCCTCTCTCTTCTCTCTCTCTCTCTCGTCCTCATCTCTCTCTCTCTCTGCTCTCTCTCTCTCTATCTCTCTCTCTGCGACTCTCTTCTCTTACTCTCTCCTCTCTTCTGCTTCTCTCCCTCTCTCTCTCTCGTTCTTTCTCCCTTTCTCTCTCTCTGCTTGCGCAAAAGCTTCTCTCTCTCTCTCTACTCTCTATATATATGTATTGTAATATTTCACTTATTACTGTCTCAGTATAGAGACGAGAGAGAAACAGAAGAGAGAGAGAGAGAAAGGAGAGAGAGAGGAGAGAGATATATGTATATGAGATGAGAGAGAGAGAGAAGGGTGGAGAAACATTGATGTTAAGTATAGTGTAGACACAGTCAAATCACCGACAACTTAAGAGAAGAATGTCCTGTTCGTTGTGATATTTAGTGGCTATCATGGCAAAATGGCCGTTCCGGGGAGGTGACCGCTATACACAGGTTTTAGTGTACGTGTATGTTGAACGCAAACCTGACCTGCAGTCGAAGTCAGTGACATCTTCGTCGCACGACTTTCGCGCAATTCTTCTAACGACAAGTCCCAGGCGTGGATAGCGGGGTCGTTCGGATGTTCAGGATGTTATAGCGCAGTCGCCGCGCGGTAATCTGTTGGGAACGAACTCAAGAAGTTTCCTGCAAGATGAAGCAAATGCAGAACATACGTACATGCTACATAAATACATACATACATACATAAATTATATACATACGCACACATGACATTTGCAGTACATAACATGCACTGCAAAATATGCAGTACAGGCATGCAGTACAAAGCATGCAGTACAGATCGTGCAGTACACAATCTGCACCAGAAAACATTTAGTACAGAGCATGTAAGTAGTAAGAACAGTTCGCGTATGTGTGCGTCTGTATCAAGAAGACACAGCTTGCAGTGGCTTATACGCCCGTGTGTACAACACGAATACACTTATATAGTAGGCATAGCACAGCTTTCCGTACATAAAGCATCAGCGAGAGACACTGACAGGGCGATCTGTGCACGAATCTGCGGGGGAGGGGGAAATACGTAAAACTCGCTCTGCTAGAAAAATGTACAAGCGAAGGTTGTCCCGGATTTATTTAATCACTGCAAAAGTCAATATCATTTTCACGTGTTAAATACGACGACCAAGCGCCAGTAGGTGACAGTATATCGATGTAATTTCAATAAAGGACCGCTAGGTGGCAGTGGCCGCCAGCTGCTACTACCTTACACCAATTATGTTGTGAGTCGTTGGATATCAAAACGAATTCTTCTACTACGATCCAATAAAAACCCCAACAAAACTGCGGTGCAAACTAACGCGCACAGAATACACGCTTTACAATAAGCTTCTGCTAAATCTTTATGTGCGGGGTTTTGACTAGAGACAATTAACGAGCCTGCCCGTGTTTTCTCGTTAGTTCAGTAGCAGAGTTAGCGTTCTAACAATCTATTATACGAAACCCTTGGGACCAGACACGTTTCGGAATTTGGAATTTTTCGGATTTTGGAATGGTAGTACAGTACAGATATACATAACGTGTATCCTGCAACTAGCCAGTACTAAAACCCAAGTTTTCAAAAAGCGAAGTGCTGTACCGGTACCGTACAATATGTATGAGTAATATCCAACACATTAATTTCTGCAGTGAACCTTTTGCAGCCAAACGCGAACTTTGGTGTGCAGACGACCTCCACGAAAAAACATATCGTTTTCGGAGCTTTTCGGTTTACAGAATTTCGGATAATAGATTGTGTACTGTTCTTCTTGCGTGTAGAAGCATCTAGAAATGGCACACGTACGTGAATAGTGAACGCAGTTCTCCGACGCATTGTTCCAGGATGTGACGTCAAATCCGTGCACTTTGTGAAGCCAGCAGTTTTTGTCCACCTCGCAGTATTCGAAGGACTGACAGTTGAACACTGCAGGACGCAAGAGTTGCATAATATAATCATTTAATAACTTCAAATCCGTACACATCGCTATATATACATACATATATATATATATATATATATGTGTGTGTGTGTGTGTGTGTGCGTGCGTGCGTGCGTGCGTGCGTGCGTGTGTGTGTGTGTGTGCGTGTGTGTATGTGTGTGTGTGTGTGTGTGTGTGTGTGTGTGTGTGTGTGTGTGTGTACGTGTGTGTGCGCGCGTGTGTGCGTGCGTGCGTGATTGCGTGCGTGCGTGCGTGCGCGCGCCTGTGTGTTCATGATGTAATACGTACATACCTATATAGTTATCGCATCTCGCTGCACAGACTTCGACCGTGGAAATATTAGCCAATTTTGTTCCATTGCCTCTGTCTATCTGACCAGGAAACATCTGGTAACCATCGGTGTAGATTCCTAAAAGGAAAAATTACTTTTACGTAAACGCAAACCAGAGAGGCACGTTAAATACTGACATTCGTACTTTAGATTGATTTTCTCCAGATACGTTTTGGAATCAAGCAAATGCCAAACCATCTGTTGCGAAACGATAGACCGTTTATATGTTTGAATTCGTTGCGTGCTGCTACGATTATCGAGTGAACAGATCATTGAAACTGAATATAAATATCAGAAACGTGTATAATGACCGTTTCGTTGATTGAATACCTGACGGAGCTCACCCAGCTATTTAGCCTCCCATATTCACCGCAATTGATCGCTTTGCATACACCGACAATCTTGGAATATATGACACGAACATTTTCTTCCGAAATGCTATAAATTTTGAATAAACATGATAAAAATTGACTCGCTAATAATGAATAGGTGTGTGCGAATGATAACTTTATTTGTCTTTTTATATGTTATTCGAACGCGAGTCTGATAACTTTGATTTGTCTTTTTATATTTTATTCGAACGCGAGTCTTGTAAATTCGATTAAGTTTAAATGTAACACGTACGGCTGTAGCCCACGCACGACGTGTCTTTGATGGTATTGGTCTTGTTCATTTCCTCTAGATGAGTGTCGAGAAGGACGCAATTGGTTCCGCACATGCTCACAGCTTTGCAGGCAAACTGCTCCTCATCTACACACATTCTCTGGCAGTCCTGAATAATGCCCGCCTGCAAAACCGAACAGCGCTAAACGCCTTAGAAGATGAGATTTCAGAACCGTCTCATGATCAGCTCCACGGCGATATAAGGATTGTCACAATTATGACATATAGAAAACCCCTACATAGTAACACAAATAAACACAAATAAACACGTGAAAAATTAAATAAAACATAGCAATTAAAATCAATACAATAATAAACTACAATAGTAATTACAATTAATAACAATAAAGAAATAATAATAACAATAAAAAATGAAGAAATAAAAACACCAATAAACACACGAGGAGAGGCGATTTCAGAACCGTCTCAGCTCCACAACGACAAGGATTATTACAATTATGACACAGAAAAAATGTCGGATGTGACTGGTACTACGAGTAGAATGTTTTTGATAACGAGCAGTTTTTGATTCAGGGACTGTATTGTCTGTCGTTACTTATTACGTGTTACTTCCTTCGGTTTTCCTTGCTCTCGCTTGAACTTCCTCCCTCCCTTCCGCACCCCTTCTCCACTCGCTTCTCTTTCCCTCCGTTCCAGCGCTTTTCTCTTTCCCCTACCTCCCTTCTTCCGTCACTCTCTCTCTTCTTCCTTCCTCTCTTCTCACATTCTCCTTTTCTCACTTCTTCCCCAACATTCCTTTGTATATTTTACTAAATTTAGCCGAACAAAATTACCGGAGAATATTTTACAAATTTACTGGCAAAAATTCACGGGGACTAAATGTGACAAAATAAATATAGTTGCTAAGTGCTACCTATATAAAATACATTGAACGCGTCAAATAAAGATACTTACGTTGAATATACGCTTAGCCTCCGCTTTATTTTCCACGTTTATCTGGTTCCATGCTGGTGATTCAACGAATTTGGCCCCGTACACTAAAAATGAACAGTATAGTTAGATATACGTCATTAATGCAGGTGCACGTGTTTGCTTCGTGGATATATAATATCACACGCATATATATCAAGAGTCCATAATAGAGATCCTCTGTAGCTCCGCTATAGGCGAGGAGCTAGGCGCCTCGGCATCCGGTGAGAAAATGCCCCGTTTGAGAGCCGAGACAGGGACACCTTGAAACCATGAAAACTGCATAAAACGTGCCAATTTGGCTATATTTGTGTGCATATTTTGTGCATATCTGTCTTACCTCTGTATGAATAGTAAGAAAATTAGAACCTACATTTTTTTTAATTATTAGTATTTTGCTCTGGTTTTTGTTTACGATTTACGATTTATCCTGGTGAAACGTTAGATCTCTACATAGTCACAGTGATCAACATTTGGACGTAGGCATTTGTCTGCTTGTTCTATGTTGTACGTACGATGGTATAGCGCGCGAATCAGAATCGAGGATATAAAGATCGATCGAAGGAAATAACCAATATGTACTATCGGAGTAGTCAAAAGAACAGGTGGGCGCGACCGTCCCTCGAACATCCGCTCACGTGACTCACTAGCTTCGCTTGTAGTCTACGATCGCGTTGTGCAGCACGGTATTGCGGTGCGCTCAACATAACTTATTGCGAGACGCAATCCCTAACAACGATGCTAAAAAGCTTTAAAAAATTCCAGAAGATGGAGCCACGATGTCGTACGATGTGTAAACGTGCTGTGCATGTGTTTACGCGGGCGAGCAAGTGCATCGCAGCAGTAGCAGCAGCAGCAGCAGCAGTAAGACTCGCGCCAAATATATAAATAGGTTATAT